TTATCAAAAAAAAAAAAAAAAGATGAAAATGCAAGAGTACCTTTAACTGCATCCATGTTGTAAGCTTTACGAAAATTTTCAACTAAAGAAGCATAAAAATGTTTTGCTTTCTCGGGAGGCATTGCCACATGAAAATCAGGCTTGTTTCCTTTCAAAACGCCATACAATGTGAACTGACTTACTGTACCAAATACAAACTAACCAATCAGCATCGAAACCAAATAAGCAACCATTGCTTATACTTTTTACAATATTACCCACAAAATAAGGTCAAAAAGTTAAAAAAAAAAGGTTAGAAATGAGCAATTACCTAATAAAACTTCATAATTTCTTTGCATTACCTGTCAATTAACAATATAGCCATGTAAACCATCGCTAAAAGACAAAAACAGCAGTATACTAGCATAACTCCAGTGTAAGTATATTTACTTTTATTGTGTAAAAAGGGAAAAAAATCTTTATTCCTGGCCGTGAGCTGAATGCTGAAAATGATTCTATCTTTTGAAAGATTAAGAAAGATATTTATCAAATATATGTCACACTTCAGATTCATTGACCTTTTCCTTGTCGCAGTTATAAGAGTTCCAATATATAAAGAACAGAATTATCAATTTACTTCCACTAATGAATACAAAGCCAAAAGTGCAATAAAAACTAGAAGATTTAGTTATTTCTCTTTCGGAAAATTTGGAAAAGCAAATGTGAAAAAAATTATCACGTTTGACTAAGATTTCATTTCCATGTTCTTTATCATTAGGTCACACCTTAATAATATTGTGAAATTATATAATTGAAACTGAATATAATACTATATGCTAATGTTGGCTGATTGTCCCTCCTATGAATTTTGAAAATATTGCCATTTCCCCAAGGTTCCATTTTTAGAGAAGAGGTTTACAAATATTCATAATTGTATTGGTTTTTATAATCTCCTAATTTCACAATGAGCTGGGAAATAAGACTATTATGGATTCCTGTCATCTTCAAAAGTATAATCTTGTATCATTTAATTAAAATGGCAGAAAAAACAAGTTAATTACTGAATTCCTGCACAGGAAGCATTTGGTAAATTCTGATAGCATATACTACTAGCACGCGCGCGTGGGCAAGAATTAGAAATTACATTTTGGTCCCAAGTTTTCCCAGATGTTTCATTGGGATAGCAGATCGAACGAAGGAATCACAAATGATAACCTTCAACGGCCTACTGAACATACAAGACTGCAAGAAATCTCTTATTCTCGCAACTATCACTCACATAACATATTACAGAGGCTAAACCACTAAAAGATCTCAGTTTACAAGGTTCATCATAAGGAATGAAGAATACAATCTCTCAAATCCTAACTTTACAGAGACAAAACTCAGAAGAACCTAGAAGAACGGCGGAAGGAGAGAAGTCGGCGAATCAATGAGAAAAATCTCGAGTGTTGGTATTTATATCATACATCAACCAACCACAGATCCAAGGGTCAGCAAGAGACCACGTGTCACCATCAGGATACAAGTTAATCACTAAAAGAAACACCTTTTAGTAAAACACGACTTTGCCAATTTTGGGAGCACACATCATGGATCCAGGGTTCGAGCCTCAACACTGAGGAAATTTATTGTGTATAATACAACGAATAAACTTTCATTACTAAGAAATATATGGTCGATTATGTAAGTTTTTTTTGCTTATTCCATTCAATGAATTTAGACGTACCGGAACAAAAACCTTACATGGCACAATCACACAGAGTCACAAGTATTGTGAAGACAAACAATTTACAAGAGCCGATGACTAAGAAATGCACTGTATTTTGTTCATAAACTGGACAGTAAACTCTCCAAATACTCATTTCCAAGGTCTTGAAACTCTAACACATCAATATTACTCATAAACATCTCATTTTCCCAACTGCTTATCATTCTCTTTTGTGCTGGTTGTTCACAGTTAAACGAATCCAATTCCGTCCCCCACTTCCTTTTCTGTGTATCAGAACACCCCGGAAAAGTATCCGTTGAATCTATTGGCCAGGAAGATGATGAAAAATTCATATTGTTTTGATCATAGGAATCCTTAGCCAGAAAAGTATCAGTGGAATCTATTGTTTGATCACAAGAAGCCATACCCACTATTTCAAGTGGAAAATTTTGGTATGCCTTGGGGCCTCTAATTCTTAAAGCAGCCTTATCATAAGCCATTGCTGCTTCTTCAGCTGTTTCAAAAGTTCCAAGCCAAACTCTAGCTCCCTTTCTTGATGAATCTCTTATTTCTGCCGCGTACTTTCCCCATGGTCGCCTCCTCACCCCTCTGTAGTGCCTGGCAATCACCTTCTTCTCGACTTTCGTAGTATTAGATTGTACTCGATTCGAATGATTAGTACTATTTCTGTCTGAACCAACATTATTTGAAGAATTCTCCGTACTTCTTGAGAGAATCGTTTCATCAAGAAGCTCCTCCCATGCCTCGGCTCCCATTGACATCCACCTGCCTAAACTTGGCAGCCTCTCTAACAAGTTCTCCATTGATCCATCAAGATTAGGTTTTCCCAGATGTTTCATTGGGATACAATCTCATGTTCAAAACTTTGCGACATCTGCAACCCAACGAAATAACTGTAACAATCAAAATTCACCACTCAAATATCCATTAAAAAGTAAAAATCATTTGCTGAAAGATACATACATGTACTCGGCATCCGATTCCACATCCGATTCATGAAGCCCAACGAGGACCAACAGTCCCGGTCCAATCGCCGACACCGTGCGCCCTTCCACCTGCAAAACAACACCTTGGGCATATCAGCAATCGAAAATAAGGGAAATGTGACCGTATGCACCATGTGTATGAAATATTTTTGGCCGACCTCAACACTGGCAGAGGCCACACGCTGTATTACGGCTTTCATTGATTTGATTAGAAGCTTCCTTCTTCTCAAGCCAACACGATTGCTTCTCTTGTGGCGATCGATAGCAGAATGGAACGGGCGGAATTTGTGGATTTGTAAGGGTTTGTGGAAATGCAACCCCTGGTATTGGAATGGGATAAACCCTAAATTTGTTGACATGGTAAAGTAACTGCCCTTCTATTTTTATTTCTTTTTTGAATTTAAGTGGACAATAGAAAAAAAACTAATAGTTGCAGTTTTAAACTCGACTCGGACAATGGTCCAATACGTAACGAGTTAATACCCTAAATAGTCACTGAACTTTGTCAAAAATTTCCAAGAGATCATCGAACTTCAAAATTTTCCTAAATAGTCACTAAACTTTACAAATAGTTCCTAGGGGGTCACTGAACTTAGGGAAGTTTTGAAGTTCGGTGATCTCCTGGAAATTTTTGACAAAGTTCACTGACTATTTAGGGTATTAACCCAATACGTATCCGTATTGCTAGGCTATTTGCATAATCGATGGATCATTAGTTGGATCGATTTAATTGTTGAAGGATCCAATGAGTGTAACCAAATTAATTGGATCAATCAATCTTTAAAACTATAATGATTATAATCGACGTGCACTGCACCTCATTTTTAGAGTTTCTTAAGCCAACACCAATGTTAAAAAACTATATTGTATACATGAGCCAAACCGTCCAAACTTGTTAAATCGTTTGTTCAACTGTGAACTTATTGCTACAACTCTCATCGACCAATTCGAATTGTCATTGGCCTTGGTCGAGTAAAGGGTCTTAAAGTCCGATGTAGATGAGGATATGGTTTACATTTATTTGATCAAAAAGTATGCTTTCGAAGAGGAGGGGTACAATAGGACTAGAGTTGTGCTTTTCCATCATGCAGCAGCATGTTGTTGAAATCATAAAAATGGATATGTAGGAAGCATTTGAATGAATAGTAATTGGTCCAGATTTGGAGTTAGATTCCCTTAACCATGAAGTTAAAGAAATTAGTTTCAAATGATTTAAGATAGTTCGTGCTTTATCAAAAGAGGATGATAATGACTCCCAAAAACATATAAAAAAAATGTGTAATGTTGAAGCAGCCTGTAACAATTAGAGCCAAAAAATGATAATTTAAGAAGATGGTATGGTCCCGGCGGGGCTCGAACCCGCGACCTTCGGCTCATAAGACCAACGCTCTAACCAACTGAGCTACGGGACCAACAATGCCAGTTTTTCAGATTTAAAAATTAGATACTATTCATTTTTATTTATTTATAGTTGCTCATCATCATTAATCTACGCAAATTGTGAAGTTCTTCGTTGAGTTTGTAGCTATTGCTGTAGATATGTGATTTTCTTATACTTATTTTAATTATGCCTCAGAATGCTATCGATATTAACTATAAATTTATCGACATTTTCTTTTTTAGAAGACACAAATATGTTCAAATTAGACAAATGCATTTGTTGATGTACTATAAGAAGCTTGCCAAATGAGCATGATAGAGATTGATATTTTTTTCCCGAATGCGTTGACATTCCCGTTTTTCGAATCTCTATCTTTACTTTTTAAATGAAAAATAGTTTTTTATTCGTCTATCATTATATATGACAGGATTAATAACAGAAAAATTCTCTAGAAATGTTTCATTTGTGATATACTCTCCTATCTATTGGAAGTTTCGCAGAAAACTCCCTTATTTGAAACTTTTTTGTGCGAAAAACATCAAGTTCAAACTTCTTTCTTGTACGGCTAGAGAAAAATTAGAAAAACGATAAACCCTATAGATTGAGAATTTACTGAAAAAATGTTCCAACTTTCTAACTATAACTATAATTGCCATTATCGTATAAAACCAATAGTGATTCTTCTTCTGACCCTATTCTTGATCCAATGTGGAGATAGGGTTCTAATCAATTAAATAATTTGAATTTGAAAGCACTTCGATCACTTGAATAGGGACAAAATAGTGAACCCATGATTCAATTGTCCAATTTACCAATTTCCTTTAGGCCTTTTGTCCCTCAGAAATGCTCCTGGGCTTTCAGTTCAGGCCCCAAATTCAGGCCCATATCCCAAGCAGAACCAATTCTTCACAATCTTTAATTTTCACCCCAAATTTAAGAACTTAACGTCTTTTGGGGACAAAATCTTCAAATTTATGTATTGTGCACCAGTCAATCCGTTAACGATAAGGCAGCAACAGAACACCAAAAAGCTATTCAAGAAATAGAATTAACAACTAGGAAAATAAGAGCCCAGAAAATGGCTTGCTGTTTATCAACAGGAACGACAATGGCGTTTTACAGAGGCAGTAATTTTAGTGGCCCATCAGCTTCACTTTCTCTCCTCACTGGTTCAAGAACAGGAGCCCTCGGATTGAAAGCCAAGGCCGTAAATTCTTCTGGGATGCTTCTTCACTGCTCCTTCACTCAGGCTTCTTCTTGCCTTTCCCTCTCTTCCAGTTCTTCGTTTTCTGGTAATATTACAGTTTTGCCCACTTATTGTGTTTTGGTAATTTTAAATTTTTTTATACTTGTTTAGTAATTTTATGGAGAAGTAGTGGGTTATGCTCTAATTCATGTTATTTAGTGATCTTGTTTTGTTTTTAATAGTCTGTTTCTTTTATTGGGATATACAATTCAGAGGGATAATATTGTAGTCTTCTTCTTCACTATCTGAGTGAATCATTATAGATTTGTGCGTTTGCATTGTGTGTTTTCTACTATCCCCACTATATTTATTGTTTACAAAACATGAAGATTTCGTATATGGTTTTAGTAACTTCAAGAAACAAAGATTGCTGTTTGTTGGCAATTTTTGTTTTCATCGGTAGAGAATATTATTTGAAATGCATTATTCGCAGGGTCATCATTGAGTTTGGACTTGAATTCGAGCATGGGAGTAAGTGTTAACAAAAGGCGTGGCCTAGTAGTGAACGCTAAGAAATATGCTCTCTGTCAAACGAAGAGGAACAGGTCAAGGAAGTCACTTGCTCGGACACATGGCTTCAGGAAGCGTATGAGTACCACCAGTGGACGAGCAGTAATCCAGCGCCGACGTGCCAAGGGACGATGGGTCCTGTGCCCGAAAACCAACCATAGCAGCGGAAAACGTGTTTGATCCTTCATTGTTTTGGCTTGTGTGATTGATTCATATAGGTAATGCTATGGTTCGAGTACGTGCATTGTGTTGTCTCAGTTGTTTCTTTCGTTCTTCTTCTCCTTTTGGGTAATTTGATCATTTTGTTGAAAATATTCTTGTCAACTTAATTCCAACATTTCTCATATCTGCATCATTTCATGCTGGATTTATCATTACATGGACAATCTAGGACAGAACGTTTATGTTTAGAATGAGAAGAAACTGTTCAGAATGTGGTTTTTATAACGAGTCGAGATGCAATATTACATTGATGATTTGGTTCTTCTTACAATTTTAGATACTATTACTATGTACACATCACTTGCGCACAACACACAAATATACAGTACTAGGAATAACTGAGGTCCTTGAGGAATTCATAGGAAAGACCAAATTCACAATTTACAACAATCTAAGCAGTTGGATAGGAAGCTTCCATTGCAATACCACATAGTCCTTCCTTAGCATCAATGCCCCTTTCCATTCTGATATATCCCTCTTCACCCCAACTTGTTCCCCATGAGTTCTTGACTAACCAATACTTTGTCCCGTCTTCACTCGTCCCGTACCCTGCTGCTGTAACACCATGGTCTAAGCTAGTCCCACAATATCCAGTAAAAACACCACTTTTGTAGAACTGAAAAGCTAGTCCACTGGCATCAATAGCTACGGATACTGGCTGACTAGCCACAGCTTTCAATAATGCAGATTCATCGTTAGCGGTGACATCTTCATAGCCAGTGATCTTAGCTGCACGTGAAGCTTCTTTCTGGCTGTTGCACGTGCCATCAGTTCCGTCATAGGGGTAATTAGATTCAGTGGTGAGGCCATGGTTGTGTAATATGAATTTGAATGCATCATCCATTAGTCCACCATTACATCCTTGATCTTCACCACTTACGTCGCAATCCACTAGTTCTTGTTCAGACAATGAAATCAATTTGCGTGTTTTTAGTTGGTTGATTCCTTCCATGGCTGCAACAGCAGAAAATGCCCAGCAGCAGCCTGTTTGTTTTCATTTTCAAACAAGTTATTACAAATGAAAATGCACCTTTTTGTAATTCGCTTAGTGCTCGATCTCAGATTATGCAGTACAGTATACAAAATTTTAACTTCTTTTTCTTCATTAAAGCCCAGAGAATTTTGAAAAGTCAAAAAGTGCTTATGAGTTTGTTTATTTAATTTTATATAAGTGTTTTATCTTGTTAAAAGAGCTTTTAGACTAAGCTGGTCCAATTATCTTCTTCGAGAAACTTTTCTACCAGAAGTAAGAGTAGAATTTCATGCCAAACTAGCCCTTAATAGTGTCTAGTCCAATGTAAACGAGCAAGGGATTTGCTTTATAGAAAATTTTGTCTTACCACATTGGCCCTGATCCTTGACTCCGGTTACGGCTCCTTTCTTTCTCCAGTCCATGCTTGTAGGAACTGCAGTTACATTTTCATACTTAAAGCCTGTAGCAGACTTTTTCTGGAGGGACGTCTTGTATCCGTTACGAGAGGCACGAAACTCTTCATTTGTCATATCAGCAAATTCATTTACACCTAGCTTGTAACGCCGAGTCCCTTCAATGTTGAAAGATTCGATAAACTCCACATTCTCCTTGAATATCTTGAACCGAGTTGCTTTCTCTACATTATCTTTGTACACACGTCCGTACTGGGCTATCCATTGCTCGTGTTTCTCAGCCACGGATGCTCCCTGGAGACTGCGGGAAGCTTCAAGAGACGAACAAATCCCTAAAACTAACACAAGTGTAAGAATCAAGTTCCTCTCAAACGACAGTGCCATTTCTATTTAACTTTGTATTGAATGGTAGTGTTCGAGTTAGGATTGAACAAAATAGAGAGACAAGAGGTGGGTATAAATAGACTGGAAATTGTTCATTCATTAATTTATGCTAAATAGAATTCTCACTATGATGTGAATCTTATTATAATGTATCAGAAAGTATCGTAGACGGTGCTCCATTAAGACCTGTTTTGTTGTACGTACACACTACATAGGGACCTCATATTCACCCAACTGTGTAATCCTTCTGATGTTTCTTCTCCAATTTTGAGTTATTTTCTAACATATAATTTTCTTGTAAGCTACTTAGGCCAGTTTGGTACTGCTTTTTCTTCTCTTACAAGTGACCATTTTCTTCTAAACATTCTTCTAGATGGATAGCGTTCTTTTAGAAAATAATCCAAGCAGATTTAAAAATTACTTTTGGCTTTTCAAAAATTTTGTTCTCCAGTATTTGATAGAGAAGCTCTACGATGCTAACATGTTTTCTACTATGCACTGAAAACGACTAGACGCAATTAAAAAAAATGAAACAACGGACTCACTTAACCAAGTTTTATGTGTATTTTACGTACTATTTTATATCGCACAATAGTCAAATCAATAATCAATCCATCTCTGTAAATTATTCATATAATTATGTATCTATCTGCCTGTGTTGATCAGCCGTATAAAATTCGCAAATTACCAATCAAAACTCCGTTGAAGCTACTCTGTTATTCTACACAATTCTTCATATTCTAGCATTTGCGGCGTTCTTATTCAATCTCTTTCTACCGTTTGAAACTTGTATGATAAACCATTTTTAATTATTGCTTGGTCACATCGGGTAAAAGAATCCAATTCAAAATAGAATCAATACGACGATAAGGAAAATGAGTACCGCGAAAACAAGATATGTTATTAAGTTGAAATATGCAAAAACTCCATTCAATTTCATGGGAAGGGAGTTTTCGAACATATTCGAGAGTTCAATATGACCATTGTCACTTTGGCCAAAGACGAAACTTCACCATCGTTGAATGGCTTTGCAAAAAGATGAGGAATTGTATTCCCAAGAACATCGAAAGATCCAATGACAAGTGGACATAAATACAAATTAAACATCGAAAGATCCAATGGCTTTGCAGCTGGGCTTCCATTTATTGGTATATTCGGTAATTGAATCACCATTACGACACGAGTTTCGTACTTGGTTTCAACTCAATCTTAAATTCAGTATCTCCAATTCTTCACACTGCCATGGTGGTTCATCTGTTTAATCATTGACACCCTCCAGGGGCAACTGCGCAGGAATGTTCATTTCTTCCCAAGGAGACGATTCCCTGAGCGAAACAAAATGCGCCATTAAATGGTCAATTGATGTTTAAGAACATGAAAAAATCATCCTAATTCAAAATTGACTTGTGTCTCCGCAAAGGCAGGCCACAAACATATCTGGATGACGAATTATATACCCGCCTCGTCTCACTGACCAACCTTGAACCCTGTTATTTTGAGTCAAGCAAACTTCTTCAGTCTATCAGGCGGGTTTGTTGAGATTTAGACCAAGAAGATTAGAAAACTGAACCCCTGCAAGCATATAAAATTAACCCATATCTATTACTGATAAAATCAGTGCCTAACAAAAGCAAAGATATTATCTATAAATGTTAGAAGCTGGCAATGAATAGCTGATGTACTTTCCAATGTACAACAGTTGTGTGGAACAATTCACAGATAATACCTCAACAAATCTTGAGAGAGCTTTTTCCATCTCTTGCTTAGCTCTGTGCACTCTCCTCAGTACTAAACGCTGAGGGTGAATTGTTTTTGAGAGTAAGGTACCAATAAACATATACGTGCTGCCCATTATAATCTCTCTCTTACTCGAGCTTCAAAACATGGCAGCGAAGAAAAGCATAAGGAAGCAGATGCAGAGGTTTACCTCCCGTTCCAAGAAAAAAAGCTGTTCTGCACCATAAACCATATCACCTATCAAAGCTGGAAACCATAATCATACTATACCACAAATTCAAGATCATGGCATCATATTCCACAAGATTTTACAGAGATCCTCAACAGCTTTACTAGCAAGGGATTCTACAACCAATTTTTTTTTTTTTTTT